CTGGTAATATTTTTTTCCAGAAATATATTGCTGGTAATATTTTTTTTCAAAAAATGTATTGCTAGTAATAATGTATTACTGACAATAATTTTTTCTTCAAAAATTCATTACTGGTAATAATTTTTTACAAAAATGTATTGCTGGTAATACAACCTATTTTTACACGTTTTGACCTAGTTTGGGGGTAAGTATTTCCCCATAGCTGGGACCCTAACAGGTGCTACCACCCCGGGTTAGGGTGGACCTGGGAAAAAAAACAGCAATTAAGAGGTGGTTCCACGCTTCTCAAAATCTCTTGATCAGAGGCCTTACTGTCGGATGTAGTTTATCGTCTTACCCAGGACAGTATACATGAACAACTTTTCCATCATCCGCACTTTCTATTATAGACTCTGTGTTGAATATACTAGGATGTAGTGCGTGTAAATGGATTCATTATGTCGTTGGATTCTCAAACCTTTACAAATATTATAAACTTATACAAATATTAAAAGTTTTCTAAATCCAGACTGCAATAATTAGCGGAGGGTCGAACACACTAATTCTGAGTTAAGGCACTTGTTAACCATTACTTTCTGTCAGCCATCATTCTTAGTCAAATTGCAGTTTTTCATCGTTTTACAGTTGAAATAGCTAGATGTCACGGTAACTTCTATGCTAACAGTTTCAACTTTGTTGATTCAAGTAATCCAAAAGTGAATTGACCCAAAGAGTTGTGAGTTCAATACCTCGTCACAGAAAAGGTGAGCAAAATTGAAAGTTGAGTAAGTAAAGGAAAATAACTGAAAACGAAACACCCAGAGAATCATGGCTCGTGGAACTAGAACAATCTATAATAGAAGACTAAATGAAGGGTTCGGTTCGAAATCCCAACATATATCAACTGAAAAAGTCCGGAGCGTACAACGACCGAAACGTCGTGAATATGACCCTAAAGATGAGGACAACAGTCTGAATAATGTAAATAGCGTAAATGGTTACAATACCTCATCTCAGGAATATAGAGAGAGTTTATTAGAATATACAACTTAATACAAGTTAAAGGAAACATTAATTATCCTACTTAGTACATCTTTTCTGGCATTCAGATCTGTAAATCTTTTTTCATGACACTTTTTACACCTATCTTCTTTACAAAATCATTTCCTATTGACAGAATCACCAAGGAGTTAAATCTGTCTTGAGTTATAGATATATGTTTTATAAGGTTTAGTTTTGGACGATCCCAAACACATGATGGCGTACCGCGCGACTACTCGAGTTGCTAGTACCTTGAACCGGCCCTGCCTATGATAATTTAATTATTTAAGAATTCAATGTAATCTTTTCCAGCTTGAACAGGTATTGGCTCCACCAGGATTTCTTGCCCTAGACCTAGTATACGTGATGCTTCTACAACCCTAATTGTTTATAGGGAACGTGAGCAAGATGATATGTTTTTCATTTCGGTATATTCCCTGCAGTGTATTTTGCGATGTAACCAACGTGTACAACTTTAGAAAGTCTATATTTATTTCACTTTTTTTAATACTAAATTTCACCCAATATAATGCTCGACAGCCACTCAATATAGAGTTTCTGCTATTAAAATACTTATGATAAATGAGATTTATGATATGAATGAAAGAGAAGTTGTGAGGAATTGATGATTATGAGGATGAGGAAGAAAGATAACGGATGACTCTAGATTTAAAAGGTTAAGACTATATTGTCCAGGGAAGAATTCACGCGGGATTTCTTGAAAAAGTGTAGTTTTCTTCTTATATTTGGAAGGCGGCATGAAGAAAAAATAAGAATTGTCAACGAAAGCCATTTTTCTACTTTTTTTTGTTGTTTAGAAATGCAAGCCATGCACCTCATTGTGAGATTGGTAATGTCGTGAAGTGCAAAAGACATGCGTTTGTGCTTTGGTAACATAGTGCTTGTTGGTTTAATCCTAATTGAAGCAGAATATAAATTACAACAATTTTATGCGCTCGTGCAAGCACTGTGCGTGTGTGTATGCGAATATGCATGCGTTTTGACATTGACGGCAACCGACAATAGAACATTTAATCGCTGTTTTATACAAATAAAGTTATTTGATAAGATTGGCTAAGGTACAAAGTTATAAGAACAGATTTAACTCACCATGCCTTGCGAGTCTAAGTAACAACTGCACTACTGTTGGCGATAGACTACTTGTCACTGAGAAGTAAGTGAGTTTGTCTTGTAAGCATTTGGTAGAAAGTTTCGTGGTTGTATCAGATTTAGTCTAATAATTATCTTGTCTCTTTCAGATTGCTTATTGTCGTGAACACCAAAGTACATGACATTTAACAAGACAGTGCAAATAAAAAGAAAAGGACTGAATGCTGCTGAAGAGATCATATCATTAGCTCAGTATTATTCGAGCATATATTTTAATATATTGGGAATGTCTCATAAAGTGAATCATTTAAATGATGGTAGATACAAAAGAATTTTATTAGACTGTCATTGAAAAATAACGGACTGTATATGCATTGTAAAGTAACGCTTAACATACCAATTACAATTATATTCAGTATAAAAGAAAGAATATGATTATTCAGTTTGTAGTCAAGTTAAAATAACTTCTGCAAGTTTTGTAGTCAAGTTAATAGCTATAAGGAGTGAAATGCGTTTAAAGTACCAGGGAAAAAAGTTAAAGTCTTGTGTTTCTCTTGAGGGAAAATATACTATGGGATATTAATGTTAGTGCCTTAACAAGTAGTTAGATTTTGACTTGAAATAAATTGTAAATTTCAAAGCGTAGCTCAGATGAAGCACAAGGCCTAAAGAAAGGTGCTCCTAGGGAGGATCGAACTCACAACTCAGTTGTAATTAATCTAGCGAGATACGCTTGCTAACCATTATACCATGTCGAAGCGTCCATGGCTTGGAATATATGCATAGAGGTAATGTTTAATAAATTTAATTTTCTCATTCCTTTCTGATGTCAGTTTAAACTAATGCCTCCTTTGCCATTTATTTTGTTCCTTTTGTGTAAACTTCGTATCTTTTTGAATTTTTCTATATATTTCTGTGGTATTTTGACTTACCAATATTCTAATTTATAATTATAGTTCATATAGATCGGAAAAAGAAGGTGACATTTTAAACTAACACAATGAGATATGGGTTAATATTCACCAATAAATTAAGTACCCTAACAAGGAAGTAGATTTTTTTAAAAATGTTTGTTTTATAAAATTAATCCATTATCATTACATCGCGAACGTATTAATGTACCTACGAATGTTTCTATAAATATATGTGCATCTCTCTTTATCTCTCTCGACTATGTCTCTTTTGAGTTTTTTTGTTTAGCGGCGTATCAACTCCTTATGGGTCATTTAATACCGAAATTTAATTACAAAAAATTATTACTGTTATTTTTTTTACTATGAAAATGTATTGCTGGAATTTTAATTATGAAAATGTATTTTTATACTTCATAGTGTTTGAGCCCAGTTTTAGGGTTAACTATTTTCTTATATCTGGGGACCTAACAGGTTCAACTACTCTGAGGAAGCAACAACAAGTAAGAGGTGTTTCCACGCTTCTCAAAACCTCTAATCTTCCGCTCGGAAACCTTGCTGCTGGATGTAGTTTATCGTCATACCCAGAACGATTCTCTCTCTCTCTCTCTCTCTCTCTCTCTCTCTCTGTGTGTGTGTATATTTGTGTGTGTGTGTGCGCGCGTTACATCTATTACTGAATGTGTTTAAGTAATGTATTTCCACTTTAATTTGGTTAATCTAGTCAAGTCTGAAAGTCAAAACCCTTTCATTTCTGCAAACTCACCAAATATACACTCTTGTACAAATTAATTGAAACAAAACGAATAATTCCTTATTATTTGTTTTTTGTATTTTTCCAAGGAAACATAACCCAGTGCACATGTACTTCGTATATTCATTTACATGGTTCCATATATGTAAATATCAGTCGTCTATATTTGAGTCTGAAAACATTTGATTTGGGGATAAACAAATATTGTTCCGTGATATTGGAGTCTGTAAATATTTACATGGTTCGATATAGGTAAATATAGGTCATCTATATTTGAGCCTGAAAGCAATTATTTGATTTGGGCATATATAAATATTGTTCGGTTATATTTCAGTCTGCAAACATTTACATCAACCGTTATAGGCAAATACAGGCCATCTATATTTGACTCTGTATGCCTTGATTTGGGGATATATATTGTTCGGTTATATTTGAGTCCGTAAGCATTTACAGGGTTCAATATAACTCAAATTTATTTGATTTGCGGATTGACAAATATTGTTATTGTTCGGTTAATATTTGATTCTGTAACCATGTTTTTTATCGCATTTATATGACAGATGATCCCCTTGTGAGTGGATCTCTAAACTTCTGCAATTGATGCTGACTGTGTATTCTGGTCCCTATCGACAGGGCATGCGAATGCACTCAACGAGAAACGATTGTGTTACTGGAAGAAACATCTAATTTAAAAATTATAACTCTTTCCTGTGGAAAAGATAAGTTTATTCACTGAAATATGAAGTAGCGTTTCGTGTACATAATCATTTATGATGGCGGAATATAACATCGACGATCGGAGTTCAAATACTGTCGAGAAAAATTAGTCTTCCTTTCACACTATTGTATTTAGAAAATGGCATTTCTTCTGCCGTCAGATATGAATTAAATAGCAAAAATGAACTGAGATTCTTAGACTGGCCACCAGTCTATGAGAAGTTAAACTGAAATCAAACCTGTAGAGAAGGGAAACGTGAGGAAATTACTCTCCTTTACTTCCTCCAAACAATCATGTCAGCGTAGAATTTACAGATATTAATGTAAAACAAGCTTTTTCTATGATCACTTGCGTTATGAAGGGATGTGATATTTAAAGACTATATATATATATATATATATATACAGAATATATATATATATATATATATATATTGTTACGAACTCCCATCTAAATTTATTATAAAAACTATATCACTGCTTATATTTTAGAAGCATTCTAAAATAAAGAGCCCAGTACTTACAGAAACGTAAAGAATAAAGATCGTAAACCCAAAGAGATAGGTAGACTTAGTGGCGACAAGGATTGACCAGAATGTACCCTTTACTTCTCTTTTGGTCAGCGTGTTGACATCATGATTTACACGAATAGATTCCAGATAGAAGAAGTTGATACACTTTAAACTAAACTTTCTCTGACCCTGAAGATGAGAGAGAGTGTCGATGACCCCATTACACCCGTAATGGGAAAAGGTTCGTAGTTGAAAATTGACCACGACTGAGAAGACGTGTTCGCGAAATTGCGAGGAGAATTCATCTCCGAGTGGAATAGACGGATCCGTTTGACGACGTATGCGGAATGCCGCTACATCGAGGAGAAAGAGAGACAGAAGACAGCTTATAGAAAAAGAAAAGAAAAAAGTGAGGAAAGATCTATGGGAAAAAGAAAGAAAGGAAGAAAATATCTCGAAGGACGCCACGCCGAGATGAAGGAGATAGAGAAAGAAAACAGTTTCAACTGTCACCAAGCCCTTAAACAAAGGACGAAATGGAAAAGAAAGAAAGAAAGAAAGAAAGAAAGAAAGAACAGACTATCTCAAGCGAGAATGCTGCTATGCCAAGACGAAAGAGAGAGGGAACTCATTTTCTGCTTAATCGTTAGCCAAGCCCCTAGACGACAAAAAGAGAAAGAGAGGAAGTAAGAAAAGACCTCAAAAGGAGACCTTTATAAAAAGAAATAGAAAAGGAAAAAGAAAAAAGGAGAAGTAGATATACGAGACATTATTAGTGAAAAAGGACTTTATTCTGAGTTAAGTTTGTTGTTTTTCTTGTGCTCCGTTTTTGTTTAAATATACCTCTTTTTCATGTTTGTACTTTGATGCAAATTTAGCATGAAATCTTTTTATTACATGTTTCTTTCCACTTGTTTGAAAATTTTGATGTTTTGTAAATTCGTGCAAGTATAGCTCATGCTCTGTAAATTCGTTGAAGTATGGCACAAGGCCATACGGTGCTTTTTATTCTACCTTTCTTACAGGATGTTCTCCTCCCACTATTTTGCCCACAATGTTTAAATGTTTATTCTTGACATATTGTCATTTTTGTTTTGGCCGTTTTATTTTTTTATTTTATCTTTTTCATGTTTTCATGTCTGTTAATAAATTTATATTTCCTGTCTCCATTGTTGTTTGTCGCCTATCGTGTTTGTTCCTTAATCGATTCCGCCCGGCCTTGTCTGATCAATCGGAAAGAGACCTCCCCCCTTGGGAAAGAAATATATTTTATGAAAATTGAGTAAAATGTTAAAAATGTTTAAAAAAAATAACACAGATTGCGATCCTCCTCTGCCTTCGCTATCGATAGATTTGGAAGAAAGAGGGGGGTTCGTAACAACACACACACACACACACACACACACACACACACACACACACACACACACACATATATATATATATATATATTAAATTGTGTGTATTTTGGCAGCATGTTTCATTGAGGCAAGGTTTATTGAATAATTTAGACAAACTTTTAATAAGATCGGTTCATATGATGAGCTTTTTATTGTAGGTATTAAAAAAGGAGGGTTAATTACCGTGTTGGCGCATAGTGTTTTATTCCGAGTACTTTCAACATTAACACAATGTCATCCCCAGGGTGTGTTTTTAAGACATGAATGTAATGTTCTTTATTTCCAAAGACAAAATTGCTATGTTCATTTAAAAGTTATAATTTTATATGTGGAGTGAGGACCATTAGTTTTTTGTGCCATGCGGTCTATGTTTACGCTCTATGGGAGATAACTAATTATGATGTGTGAAGAGTCCTTTTTGAAAAAGAAGAAAACAGTATAAGAAACTATTAATATAGATTTTGATACTTTAGTCTAGCTATTGTAAACGTTTTAGAAAATTTGTGCAGTATTCATAATTAATTTTGTTACGGATTGGTTTCAATTTTTTAATATAGATAGCCTCAAAAATTTTTAATTTATGTTTATTATTTTCATGAAAAAGTAGTGATGTATTTTCGACGAGAATTTTTCTAAATTGCAAATGTGGACAAGTATGCTGTTGCAAATGTTTAGAGATGTTAGAAAGGTCATTCAAATGAAAAATCAACTGCCGAGACAAGGTCGTCGTAGTATGGCCAACATAATTATTATTTTTTCCGTTGGAGATACAATCTCTCAGAGGACATTTATAATTATATATACAATGTTGGTTTTCTGCAACACATTGATTGGTGAGAAAGTGTCGTAACCAATGATTAAATTGGAGATACTGGATTTAGTGTAGTATGTAATTAATTTAATTTTTTTTACTAGCATCTATTTTTAGGATATTTTCACCTTGTTTATAATTAGAATGCATTTGGTTACGATACAGAAGATTAATATGTTTGGGGTTAGTTGAAGCAGTATTATATTTAAATTGCTTTACATTAACATTACTGATAGATCATCTTATTTGTTCATCAACAATATAATTAGGAAAGTTAATATTAATAAGATTTTGTTTTATGCTTTTAGCTTGCTGTAGAAGCTCTGTTTTGTGGGAGAATTAGTTTTTGCCCGGTTTATTAGGGAATTTAGGGACTTACTCAAGGCTGAGGCAGTTAAGAATAGGCATGATAGAAGAAAAACTTTTCACAAATACTAACCAAACAACTACAAATTGCCAATAAGGAGCTTCGTCATCGTTTCAACATAACCGTTAAAAAGCCGTCAAAATTAACATCGTCGTTCTAAACAAATTCGACTCCAACAAAATCTAGAACATGACCTCGAAAATTTTTAAAAAGAATCCAACCAACCAACTAAAATTAAAAATTAATAAACTCATCAATGCCGATAATGCCTAACCGCACTATAAAAAACACATAAACATGACACTCCTCTCTGTCCTATTATATCGTAGTCATCTGAATATCAGAAATAGCGTCGGACCCAGGAAAGAGCCCTGGAGGGCACCCACGTTTGTGTGAAAGGATTTGGAAACGACCCCGTTCAAACGACCTTTATTTTTGAGATTTGATAGGAATCATTTGATTAAATAAAACAATCGTCCTGCAATATTGTAGCCCTGAAGTTTACGTAGAAGACCAGCATGCCTGTCAAAACGTCTTCAAGATATCTAGAGCCACAGCTCGAGCTTTCCCATTATTATCAAGAGCTTGATATACATATTCAGTGATGGCTGTTAGAAAACGGAAGCCATATTGTTTGTCAGAGAGTAGGTCGTGATAAGTAAGATGCTTAACAACTTCAGTATTAATTAAGCCTCGGATGCTTTGTCGGAGAACGGTAATAGACAGATAGGGCAATAATTAGAGCGGTCACAAGATTCTCCAGAGTTCTTAAAAATCAGGAAATACAGAGGAGGAATTCTAACAAGCTGGAAAGCAGAAACCAGTGAGGCAGTAGTTGTAGAGTTTAAAAGGTACTGGAGTTAACTCGAAAGCACATTTCTTTAAGACAACGGCAGGGATCCCGTCACCATAGCTTGCCTTATGGTAATCTAATTTAGATATGATGTCTGAGACCAGTGACGGGGTTATGCGCATATCACTCAGTAGAATCTCTTCTAGTGGGGAAATCAGGTGTGTGTACTCGAAATGAGTGTCAAGTTGGAAGAGAAATTCTGAGTAAAGCAGTCAATCGTAATCTGCTTTAGATGTAAGGACGACGAATTGATTGAATAGAAAAGGGATAGAGGATTTGCTGTTGTTCAGCACACTCTTGCAGAGCTGCCAATAATCTCAAATACCGAACTTACAATATGCTATACGTTGTTTCATTCTATCAGAGAAACAGTAACTTCTTTACATCAAACGTTTGAAATTGGTTTCATCAAACTTGAGATCGCCGGAATTAATAAAACAGTTGTGTAATTGCATACGGAAAAATTCCTTGAAAATAAATGGGATATCACTCGAAAGTACTAGGGAAAAATAATAGACAATAAAAGTATATATATATCGGCAGAATATTTTCATTTAAAAAAGTTTGGTTGAATAAATGTAGACATATGACGATTTTATTTTAATCCTCTTAAATTCACGGATCAATTTCTTAGTGCTTTTACAAAACTGAGTAAGAAAGACGCCGTAATTTTAGTTACTTCCAAAGTACTTTCAATCGCATCCAAGATCATATTCAGGAGTGAATTACTAAGACAAAAATTAATGTAATTGATTGTTGTGGATTTTTTTGTAAATGCGCATGAATAGTTACACTTTTTGTCAGAGATACAATCTCCCAAAAGACATTTAAATTGATATACAATGTTGGGCTTTTGTAAAACATTAGTTGACGAAGAAGCGTTATTGCGGATGATTCACAACGACAACAGTATCAAGAAGGCTTAACTTACACATGTCGGATTCAAGTTCTATTGCACAACATTTAAAAGAACATTCTTGTTCAATTTAATGTTTTAGAGAAATATTAATCGATAATACAAGTATATTCCATCATGAAAATAAAACAAAAACTTCAAATTCTCATCGCGATCTATATAAAAAATGAAATGATTATGTGTATACCAGCAATGTTTTGAAATTTCTATAAAAACAAATGTTTTGGGATGCTCAAATTGCAAAATAAAAAAAAATAAAAACATTTTAAAAAATGTTTTCGAAAAAATTGCATGTTGAGTATTTTTAAAACATTAATAATAAAAAAATTAATTTAAGTTATCTCCCTTGTATATCCTTAACGTAAATTTACTATAACGGAGCGCGTTTCATGCGCATTTACAAAAAAATCCACAACTATCAATTACACTAATTTTGTTTTAGCAATTCACCCCTAAATATTATCTTGGATGAGATTGAAAGTATTTGGGAAAATAAAAGAAAAAAAATGAAAAGAAAAAGCACTAAGAAATTGATCCGTGAATTTGAGAAGATTAAAATAAAATAAATACACCTATTATGTCTACATTATTCAACCAAACATGCTTAAATGAAGATATACTGCCGAAATACACACACACACACACACACACACACACACATATATATATATATATATATATATATATATATATATATATATATATATATATATATATAAATTGAGAAGTGAAGAAGAAAGGTCTGAATCCATAGATAGATTGGAAGATTATAGGTTCCGCACATATTACTAATAATCTTAGAGATAGGTGTAACTTATGTTTACAAGAAAAATTAGAATAATAAAATATAATAATCAAAGCAAATTATTGAATCAAAGGAATGAATTAGTTTTAAAATGTCGACATAAAAATAGATTCACATTTCCATAATATAGATTTTACTATATTAGCTACTATATTTCTCTATCAAATGTCGAATGTATAAATAATTCTAATTTTTACACCATATTAATTATATCATCTAATTGTCCTCTGTTCTAAGAAATCTCTTTCCTTTATCACTTACACCTCTTTATCTAAATATTTTAGTTTTGCTCTTGTTTTTTTAATTATAAAGTTTTTCATATATAATTTGAATTTAGTTTCAATAGAAATTTTCTAAATATTACTTATTTTTGAATTTATAAAAAAATATTTTACTTTTAAGTATAATTTATCTTTGGAAAAGTGTTTTAAATATGAACATGGATTTTTTAAACTTATCTATGTAATTTTATTTAAAAAAAAAAAAACCTTTTCGTTCCTCTCTTAGTTTCAAATTAACACTTCATTCTTCATATAACCCCAATTTAATGTCACAAGGTTAATCTTATAAAACTTCATCCATTTAAGGCTAATAACTTCCACCCTCCCCTGACCACTTTAGAACATTTTTTACAGATTACTACTATCGCAAATACAATAAAGTTACAATTTTTTAAAGTGCACACGAACTTTATGGACACCCTATATAGATAGATAGATAGATAGATAGATAGATAGATAGATAATGGGTCAGTAACAAAAATTAAGGCGATAAAATGCTAACAAATATAATAATATTGATAATAAGACTAATAATATTTATTGTATATTAGTAGAACTTTTAAACTGATACTTATAAGAAACATAGGTCGATAATCTTTAGTCGTAATTATATATATATATATATATATATATATATATATATATATATATATGTATGTATGTATGTATGTATGTATGTATGTACAGTTTATCTTTAAAAGGGTGTATTAGTTGAACAATCTTTTAACTAAACGCAATAAGTCTAATGAAATTGCTACTCTTTCTGATCAGAAAAATGCAAAACTATGTATCACCGAGCGAATATACGGCGGTGCGATTGCTTAAAAAAATGCCTGGATATCGACATATAATTTATTGCATTCCAAGTGGCTTGTGTTACTTGCAAAGCATGCAGTAGTCTCACCATTCAGTTAGAATTTCCTGTAATGAAACACTAAACATTTGCAAGACATGCAACAGGGCTCACCACATTGTTAGTGGTTCGTTTGCAAAAAACAGAGATGCCCTTCAGAAGCGCCGAGCACGTGGCAGTTGAACCACACAGAGTTTGGTGTGAAATAGACTGACATGCTTTAGGGCTTACCAATCAGACTTGCTGCCCCCAACACTGGACTTTAAGTAATCGGAGAAGGCTCTCTGCAAGTCGCTTGCTTCCCTGCCATTTCTGCAAAATATAAAAGACGGACAACCTTAAAAGAATTAATGATACGATCTGGAGTGGATGGAATGGTGCCTTGTTCATTTCGTTTGAGGGTGAGTCCTTTCATTTGTTGTTTACATTTTTCAGTTTTATTTATAAGCGATATATATATATATATATATATACAACAAGCAATAACAATAATTAATTTACATAATATATGCCTTGGTCGAATTATCTGTTTGCCGAAAGTTCTATCTATATTAGAATTTTCGATTGTCCGTGTCAGTACTTTTAAAATCAAAAACTTCGTTTTTTAATACTGACTTTATCAACATTATTAATTTATTTCTCTCATTATAGAGTTCTGTATTTAATTTGTAATAAAATATTTGTATGTGTTTAAGAGTTACATCTTCCTACATCAGATCTGTTCGTTACAGAGGATGAGACTTTTTTTTACTCTGGTGAACTGGTCATCTACATTTAGTTCAACGTAGACAACTGTTGTCAATATCTGTATATATTTTTGAGATGAAATATTGCAATTATTTACACTATTTACATCGTTCGGACTGTTGTCCTCATCTTTATTGTTTTATTCAGCAACTTTCGGCTGTTGTACGCTCCGGCCTTTTCCAAGGTCTGTTTATATTTCTTAGATGAGGTATTGCAATTATTTACACTATTTACATTGTTCGGACTTTTGTCTTGATCTTTATTTTTATATTCACGAACTTTTAGCCGTTGTACGCTCCGGCCTTCTCTAGGATAGGTCTATATTTCTGAAATGAGGTATTGCAATTATTTATACTATTTACATTGTTTGCACTGTTGACTTCATCTTCGTTGTCGTATTCAGGATGTTTCGGACGTCATGATTGGAATTTCAGGTGATTGGAATTTTAAACTGGACACTTTATTTCGTTCACCGGGGTAGATTGTTCTAGGTTCACGTTCCATAACTTTCCTGGCGGTCTCATTATTAGTTATCTCCTGTTTTAACAGAAATCTCCAAGTTTTTGTTCACAGCTGCTGTGGCCAGGGATTGAACTCACAACTCTTTGGGACTATTCACTGGATTGCTTCAACCAACACTTTTATCTACTGGGCCCCGTGTCCTCAACTGATACAGAGGCATCCGGAAGATGCATGGTGCGTGGAACAAGAACAATCTATCCCGAAGGACGAAAGAAAGAGTTCGGTACGAAATTCCAAACACCTGAAACAGGCCGGAGCGTATAACAGCCGGAACGTCGGGAATATGGCAACGAAGTTGAGGACAATAGTCTGAACAGTATAAATAGTGTAAATAACTGTTGTCAAGTATTTTTTTTAAATTTCCTATGAATTGGTTATCGTTTATTTAGTAATAAAATATGAAGTCATATTAGTATAAATAAAATATGAAGTCATATTAGTATAAATAAAATATGAAGTCATATTAGTATAAATAAAATATGAAGTCATATTAGTATAAATACTTTTAGTTCTTCTTCAAAGCTGTCCCATATTAATATCAACGTAGAAAGGTTAACAATTTTTTTCCATATGATTCCACCTAACATACAAGCAGACAAGAACACTATCCCAAAATGTCGGGTTCAACCTTCATTTATATTAGAATCGCTTAAAACCTAAAGGTGGCGTGCCAGTCACAAAAATAATTTACTAACTCAATTCAGGCAAGATTCAATAATACTAAGATTATTCTTAGTATTATTGAATCTTGCCTGAATTAATGATATAAACTCCAATTAGTATCAGCGAGCTACCATTCCAGTATCTCTTACCTTTGGTATACTCCAAAGTCAGAACTGTCTTCGTTGTGTTTTAGCAGCTCCGCCCGTCGAATACTGGAAGTAAAGATAAATAAAACCATTGTAAGCGAATTAAATAGGACTAATGAAGATGAGACTTTATATATATATATATATATATATATATATGATAAAATATAGTTTTAAGATATTCTGTATTTATGGGTTAAAATGCACATTAGTGCATATGTAAAAACAAATAAAATAAAAACAAATAATGGTTAGTGCAGATGCAAAAGTAAAATTAGACTTTAAGGTTTTTTGTCTAAAAATATGATTCCTTCGCTACATAAGAGTTCTCATGTTTCAAAAACGAGAGCCGAAACCATCCAAATAATTATTAGAATTAAGTTGAATTGAGGTGTTTAGTCCCGTTTCAACTTCCATCGAAATTTTAGGAATAAGCTATCTCTTGGTTTACGTGTGTTTTTAGGCATGGTTCGTTATAACATTCGTTATTGTGGGAGTGGCTAGGCGAGTTATTTTCGTTAAGTGGTCAGAGAGTTAATTCTTATCTATAGATTCATCATCTTCTGAGAGGTTTTGCTAAGGTTGGGTAGGGTATCTATTTCAAGGCTAATGTTGGCGGTCACCCTCTAGTTAGTTCCCAGTGAGGGATATTTTTATGGCGCGCCTTCAAGTCGTTATATGTCGGGAGGATTTTGTTTTATTATTGTCTATCTGATTATCTCATTATTTATTAGTTTATTCAAGTGGGTATAATATAAGCTCTACTTCTGTATGAAGCACTGTCTTCTTAAAAATAAAAACAAAAATACTAAGGATCTCGGATTATGCACCCAACAGGCGCACTTATATATATATATATATATATATATATATATATATATATATATATATATATATATATATATTCAGTTGTATGGATATGAGTTTGTGAGCATTAATTATATTAACCTTACTGATTAATTCTTTGTGTGATTACTTCTTTATAATATTATTTATACTGCATCATTTAATATATATATATATATATATATATATATATATATATATATATATATATATATATATATATATATATAATGTTGTTAGAATTATTGGCAAAAAAACTTAATTTTAAGGAAATTCTTTAACATTCCAAAAGTTATTCGGACTTTTGAACGTAATAATTTCTGGTACTACAGCGCTTCCCCTGATTCCATCGTTCAGTTTCTTGAGAAATTTTTGAAGAAAAGGAACCCGACTTTCCAAAATTTTCATAATTTCTATTTCTGTAATTATGTAATTGTGATTTTCAGAGTTGCTTCCATATAGTCAACTTAACAAATTTAATGCAGTACTAGATTGGCGGTTTGGTCCCATAACTTTACAGTTGAAATTGCTCGATCTGACCGTAGACTAACAGGTTCTTTTCTCGCAGTTCTCATTTGCAGAAATCTCTTCTGGCGATTTGATCTTCAAAAATTTAAATGCAATGTATTTCTCCTGTTTTCTTAATTCTTGTTCTTTTATTGCTCTCTTGAAAACATGAACTATTTTTAACGAAAAAAAATTGTCCCACGGGCCTTGGGTATTAAAGCGTTGGTGCGGGTATTTGGTGAAATAATAATTGTGAGTTCAATCAGTGGGCTTGGCAGTGTGTACTTGAAAACAATGTCAGCAATAATTGAGCAGTACTAAGAACTGCATGAGATCTCCATAGGCAGTGGAACGAGAACACTCTACCCGTAGGTTAAATGAAGGATTCAGTTGCGAATTCTCTGTAGATTACCTGGATCGATATACATCTAATGAAGGACACAATAGACGAAACGTTGTGATAAAAAAAAAAGATCCATATCAAATAATGTCAATAACGGAGAAATTTTAATAAAACTATACACTTCTATACATTGAAGGTTGAACGTATATCTTTTTAAAAAAATCATAGAATCCCATGCAAGGCAGTAAAACGACTAATAAACAAGGGGTTATTGAGTGTTGGATAACAAGAAAAAAGTTAAACATTAGGGAGAGAGAATAGGAGAGTAATCAAGACAGTTGATACCGATTGACATTTCATTTAAATTTTTAAGATAAAAATTGGCTAGAAAGCATGAATTCGGAAGAGAGTTCCACAAACGAGAAGTGCGAGAAAAGTAACTGTTAGTATAGAATATACAGTTACTGTGAATCGATGAGACCTTGCCGCCAATCTAGCACTGCGTTTAAATTCATAAAACCTAGGGAACCATCCGAACAGTTATTAGGTTGGTGCAAAAATAATGTCGTTTTCTCACATATGTTACTTTTATATATGATTTCTGAATTAATTCATTGATATATATATAGCCATGTTATATATAATTTTGAAGCGCGTTTTTCGCTCTATCGAATCGTGTTACTCGTTACCGTTCTCAATCTCTTCATTCATTTTTTGCAGGCTTTTCGACAGCATGGACAAAATTCAAATCCGCGCGATTTTCTTGTTCCAGTTCAAACTCGGCCGAAAAGCTTCCGAGACAGCTCGTGATATCAATGATGCGTTTGGCCCAGGAACCACTAACGAACGTGTGGCACAACGGTGATTCAAGAAATTTCGCAATGGTGATGAGAGCCTCGAAGATGAAGACGGTCGCGGCCGGCCGACTGCGGTTGATAACGAACATTTGAAAGCCTTAATTGAAGCCGATCCTCGCAAAACCACACGAGAAGTTGCTGTTGAACTCGAGGTCGACCACTCAACAGTCGTTCGCCATTTAAAGCAAATAGGAAAGTAAAAAAAGTTGGATAAATGGGTGCCGCATGAATTGAACGATATCCAAAAAATCGTCGTTTTGAGGTTTCTTCTACGCTCCTTCTGCGCAACAAAAACGACCCATTTCTCGAGCGGATTGTGATGTGTGATGAGAAGTGGATCCTCTACGACAACCGGCGACGTTCGGCACAGTGGTTGGATGCCGGAGAAGCTCCACAACAATTCCCGAAGCCGAAATTGCACCAAAAAAAGGTTATGGTGACTGTTTGGTGGTCTGCGGCCGGTCTCATCCATCACAGCTTCTTGAATCCGGGCGAAACGATTACTGCGGAGAAGTACTGCCGACAAATTGACGAAATGCACCAGAAGCTCCAACGTATGTGTCCGAGATTGGTTAATATGAAGGGACCAATTCTCCTCCATGACAACTCTCGCCCGCATGTTGCTCAACTGACCCTGCAGAAGCTGAACGAATTGGGCTACGAGACTCTGCCTCATCCGCCATATTCACCGGACCTCTCGCCCACCGATTATCACTTTTTCAAGCATCTCGACAACTTCCTGCGCGAAAAATGCTTCAAAAGCCGAGATGATGCCGAATCGGCCTTCAATGACTTCATCGCTTTCAGAACTCCGGATTGCTATGCTCATGGGATAAATAAACTTGTTTCTCGTTGGCAAAAATGTGTCGATTCTAATGGTTCTTATTTCGATTAATAAAGTTTATTATGAAAGGAGTTATGACTTTTGAAGTTGAACGTCAAAAAACGACATTATTTTTGCACCAACCTAATACTTAGTATTTATAAAAATGGCACGGAGAAGTTACATTACGGCGATGGGAAAGTGACTGAAGTCAAGATGCCAGATCAAGACCAGTAATATTGCAGATTCTTCTTTCGATTTTATCAAGAATCTCTAAATATATAGTAGGTGCACCGGACAATATGTGGCAGTAATATTCTAATCATGGACGAATGGTAGACTTATAGATATGTAAGATAGATTCTAGAGAGAAAAATTGTCTTGCACGACACAATGAACCGACCTTCGTAGCAGCAGTTCTAGCAATGGATCCATTTTAGTCTTTCCCCTTCATATCAACTGGGTTTCTTTTATCGAGAAGGCGCAGTGAATCATTGTCTTGGAGGTTAGCATTAGCCGTGCCAATGAAAGGCAATGAAAGGGGTTTTTCAGGTGTCTTTAATGGAGCATGAGACCGTTTGATGTACAACTTCGGTTTTCTTTGTACTTATTTTCAGGCCGAAATTAAATCACTCGTAAAAGAACCTGTCAGCATTGCGGTGCACGTCAAACCTCAAGATAGTGTTGAGTGCACAAAGTCGTTGATGGTGCAACCTTGTCTTTATACCTCAGTTTGTGCAATTAGTAGCGTATCTGGTATATATGCCAATATCTGTGTCTTTTTCAAGAGTCTCTTAGCATGGAAAAAAACATAAAGCTGAACAGATTGGGTGCAAGGAAACAACTCTTTTTTTCAATTCATTAGAGAACTCTTGTGGTGTCTTGAGCTCTGACTATCATGCCATCGTGTTCCTGTTGTACAATGGTGATAAATATTCTGGAGAACACATAGATTGCCATGCTTTTCTATATGTTGTGTAGTAAGAGAGTCTAACCTTTTCTACATTAATATTAAAATATGGACTCGCACATCCGCCACGAGTTGAACATCTACACATGGAACAAAGCAAAAAATAGGTAGTTAAGACGTAGCGCTTTCAGTTGTACTGAACTACTGTATTGTTAATCCATGTTCTAATATGATTAAACGCTTTTTCGCTCAACCCTTTTTTTCCAGTATTTTCATTACAGTCTTACTAAACAGCAACTGCGAGCGTTATACAAACTTTATAATAAGATATCAATATCCCTTGTCAGATCGGCGTAAGTGAAGTATAAAATACCACACTGTTCTTGAGATTTCTCTTGAAATGGCATCGAAGCAAACACAATGCGATATTTTTTCCAGAAACTACATTGATTCTTTCGCGGGGTGGGGGTGATATACTGCTCATGGTGAGGGATGAGGTGGTTGAGCTGCCCTCAGGTTATAAACTTACCTGCATTAAAAAGTAGAGAAATTCGCTATTGACGGTCACTGACCTTATGGCTTCTTTTCCGCTTGTAAAGGTCAATTCGGAAGAAGTTGTTTTTTTTCCTTTTTTTCTCTTTCTCTTTCTCTTTTTCTTTTTTTTCTTTTTTTTTCTTTTTTTTTTTTTTCGCCTCCTTTTTAAGAAATGTAGAGACCCAAATTTTAAAGACTATTCAATCAGCATAAGCAGGCTGACCAGTTAGCAAATGTGGACGTCTT